TTCTTCCCCCCCTTTTTTAGTTTTTGAGATAATATATTTTAAAATTACATTACAATAAAAATACTTAATACTTCACCAAATAAGAAGTTTAACAAATAAAAAGCAAAAAGACCCCGGTTTAGTGGGAATAAAGACAACAGCTATAAATAATAATTGAATGGAAAAGTGACCATTTCACCCATATACAGTAAGTTTTAAAGTAATCACAGGTCATTAAAACTTTAGCAGTGTAACTTTTTGTAACTTTTACCATGATCTATTTTCAGTTTACTTAATGGTCATAACCTATGACCTCTATTACAACTTAAGCTGCTCATAAACTACTAACTCTCTTTTAAGTAATGGAGCTCAACAAGTAGTATGAAGGAAAACAAAACAGAACAAAACTAAACCAAACACTGTTCCTAAGTGGAAGAGACAAGGGCTATAAACAATCATCGAATCTCAAGATGTCTGTTTCAGTCTGATACATTACATTTCAGGTACTCTATTAGTTACATTGGATCAGGGGAAACATATGATATCTGTCTACTTGAGACTGGCTTATTTCATGAAGTATAATGGATTCCAGTTGCGACTATCTTATTGTGAAAGACAGGATTTCATTTTTTTTACGGCTGAGTAGTATTCCATAGTGCATATATAACATAATTTCATTATCCAATCAGCATTGACTGACATCTGGGTTGATTCATTATCTTTGCTATTGTGACTTGTGCTGCAGTGAATATGAGGAACAAATAACTCTTTCATATAATGATTTATTTTGGTTTGCATAAATTCCCAGGAGTGAGATGGCTGGATCATATAGTAGGTCTAAAGTGTGTTAAGTTCTTGACATATATTACTTATAATGATCAAAACAAAGTAATTAGCATTTCTGTCTCCTCAAACATTTATTATTCCCATGTGTTGGGGGAACTTTGGACTTTTGTTATGTAGTTATTTTGAAATATATCATAAATTAGAGACTATAGCTACCCTAATGTGCTATAAAACACCAGAACTAATTCCTCCTATCTGAATGTAGTTCAGTACCATTGAACCTACAATCTGATTCAACAACAATCTACCAAAGGTTTTCATAGTGGATCCATAGGTAATGAAATATTGTAACTGGAAGGGTTTTAGAAATCTTATCCAAGTCCTCAACCTCCTGTTGTTTAACAAAGGTCTAACTGCATTAGCATATTTCCAGAAGTGATGTGAGATACAGCTCCCAATCTCTGGGTGTTAAAAATAGAAATCAGAAGATAGAGAGATTCAGACCTCTTGAGACAATATAACATTCTATAGATTATAGCCAGCAATGGTTCTAGGTCCAGACTCCTTCCATCTCCTGCTGTGATTCTCTGAAACCATCTTCTAGGGGTAGTTTGAAGAGGATTTAAGTATTCCTTTGTTTTGTTTTTGGCTATTGTCATTTGGGATATAAGGAAGGAAAGAGATTTTTGAGAAAAGCAAGTGCATCCTGGACTTCTAAATAAAGACCAGCATAGAATAAGGCTTCAAAATAAACAGGTAAAATATTTAGTTGTTGCTATTTTAAAGTTAAAACAGAAAACACCAAACAGGAAGTCTTGTGGGAGTAATGGAATCCAATTGAGTGACCTAAATTCTTTCAGTTTGGGATGGAGGACCTCTCTTTCTCTCTCCCTCTACCTCTCTCTCTCTCTGTAACTCTGGCTTTCAAATAAATAATAATAATAAATCTTTAAAAAAAAAACCTAGAAGCTGATAAAATCTGGTCACTTGAATGTGGCTGGTCCCGGTGTACCATCAGAGGGATTCACTGTGGTTAGTATTTTTTGGGCTTATTCTCTGGAGAAATAGGCACTATCACCTTATGGTTGCTGAAATCTCTGTAGCTAATCTGATCAGATAGAGGACTAGGGTTCATTTGAGTTCCTTTACTTAATTAGCTGCTTCTAAAAACCCTTTTATTCATGGGTATGACTTTGCATGACTGAAATTAGAACCCCCCATGAAAGAAGTCCCAGAAATAGGTGGAGCTCATTACCACAGACTTCACAAGTTGGGTCAACTCTGTTATTTATGTAAAATCAATTTTCTTTTCTTTAAATCATCATTCAAGTGAGATAGATGTTGTTATAAGAATGAACAATTCTGGGAATTTAATATATAGTATGTATAATGATGCAGGTTTAAATTTGATTATGGTAATTATTATACAGTCTATACATATATCAACTCATCACATTGTCTTAAAAAGTTTGTCAAAAATTGTATGAATAAATAAATTGAGGATGTAAGTACTTACTATTTTCTTCAATGTTATGATGGTTAATGTAGATGATGCATGTAACTTGCTTTACATAGTAGATCATATAGTAGAATAGTAGCTGTTGCTGTTGTTATATGGCATTTGAATATAGTTTCCTTAAAACACACTTCAGTGATTTTTATTCTACTCCGTTCACCAGTCATCATCTGTTCCTTTTTGTAATATATACTCTGCCCCCTCATTATTGATCTTTCTCATTCTCATTCCTCTCTGAGGGAGGCCTATCTTGTTGTCTTCTCATCCATGTTCTGGTTTCAAATACTGATAAACTGTTTCAGACCTGGAATATAGTTTCATAATCTGAGAAAAGGGTAAAAACATTTTTCATATTGTGTAAAATCAAAGGTAAGTGTTAGTACTATCTGCTCTTTGCCAAGTTAAGGGGGAGAAAAGTTAATTTTATACCTGCAGTCTAGGTAAGAGAGAGATATCTGGTCCCATTAACACACAGAGGAAATTAGGAGGGCGCATGGAAGACAATATGATTGACTTGGATTAGAACATGGAAGACCAAATGGCTGTACTTTATACTAAGGAATAATTCTTGAGCAGAGGTAGAAAAACAACTGGAGGCTGAGGAAAATTGCAGAAGTAGAATACAAATCGTAAGTGTGATCGATAGCTGAAGCCACAGGAAGAACTGACATTACTGAATGAGAGTTCTTATGGAGAGGAAGAAAGAGAATTGAGGTATGACTCTACATTAGAAAGCACCAGAAACTGAAGATGACACAGGAGGATTTATAAGCTGTCTTGTATCTTTTTTTTGTGTGTGTTTAGGAAGTGCTTAAAAGGACATCTTGAGGTACAACAAAGTATAGAATAAGAAATGGTCTAATAGCTGGTTCCATTGAAGAGACAAAATTGAGATGGTAGGAATATGGGCAGCCAGGATCATTTTTCAAGATCCATGACTGAAGACTTATTTCTTTTTTTGGGGCTTAAATTTTTTTTTTACATTTATTTATTTATTTATTTATTTTTCTCCAACTTTTATTTAATAAATATAAATTTCCAAAGTACAACTTTTGGATGATAGCAGCTTTTCCTCCCATAACCTCCTTCCCACCAACAACACTCCCATCTCCTGCTCCCTCTCCCATACCATTCACATCAAGATTCATTTTCAATTATCTTTATATACAGAAGATCAACTTAGTATATACTAAGTAAAGATTTCAAGAGACTACACCCACACAGACACACCAAGTATAGAGTACTGTTTGAGTAGTAGTTTTACCGTTAATTCACATAGTACAACACATTAAGGACAGAGATCCTACCTGGGTACTAAGATGTACAATGACTCCCATTGTTGATTTTTTTTTGACAGGCAGAGTGGACAGTGAGAGAGAAAGACAGAGAGAAAGGTCTTCCTTTTCCGTTGGTTCACCCCCCAATGGCTGCTGCAGCTGGCGCGTTGCAGCCTGCGCACCGTGCTGATCTGAAGCCAGGAGCCAGGTGTTTCTCCTGGTCTCCCATGCGGGCGCAGGGCCCAAGCACTTGGGCCATCCTTCACTGCACTCCTGGGCCACAGCAGAGAGCTGGACTGGAAGAGGAGCAACGGGGACAGAATCCAGCGCCCTGACCGGGACTAGAACCCTGGGTGCCAGTGCTGCAGGCAGAGGATTATCCTAGTGAGCCGCGGCGCCAGCCCCGTTGTTGATTTAACAATTTACATTCTTATTTATGACATCAGTAATCACCTGAGGCTCTTCATGAGCTGCCAAGGCTATGGAAGCCTCTGGAGTTCACCAACTCTGATCTTATTTAGACAAGGCCATAGTCAAAGTGGAAGTTCTCTCCTGCCTTCAGAGAAAGTTACCTCCTTCTTTGATGGCCCGTTCTTTCTGCTGGGATCTCAATCATAGAGATCTTTCATTTAGGTCATTTTCTTTCTTTCTTTCTTTCTTTCTTTCTTTTTTTTTTTTCAGAGTGTCTTGGCTTTCCATGCCTGAAATACTCTCATGGGCTTTTTGTCCGGTTTCCAAATGCCTTAAGGGCTGATTCTGAGGATTTTGCTTATTTCTCCATATATTAAGTGCTTACATTGCAGGTACCCATATTAATTATTCACTGAGTCTGAGACTTCCTGTGGGAAGGCAAGGTGGGTGTACATTCTGAGAACACTTATGATCATTCAAATGTGTTTTCATTTATTAAAGGGTAGTAAAAATTTATCTGGGCATGTACTGGAAGACATAGTACTCAAATAGATGATTATCATTGCCATACAAATATCATATGTCTGATCTTTGAATCATTATGGGTATTACCCAGAGTGGTTTTGACATAATTATTACATGCAGAGAACCTATATATTTTTAAAATGCTTATGTGAAAAAGAAGTATGGATTTTAGATGGTAATATATTTTATACATGCCAAGAAAACCATGATGTGGATGAGATTTGACTTGCTCTTGTGGCTCAACAGATTGGGACTAAGACCAACAGGATGACTTTCTCTTACAGACCTTGATGAGCAGACTTGTGTTGTTCCCTGGCCTTGTAGGTAAAGCACTGGCTGGAAATAAGGAGATATGGGTTCATGTCCTGTCTGTGTCCCTTATTGCATAAATTTCCTTTACCAAGCCTTAATTTATCTTTGTAGAAAATGACAGAACAACAGATGAAAACTGTGGACTCTTATTCTGATGACAACCTTACCCTGGGTTTAATTTCTCACACCTACAGATGACAGCCAGGTCTTTGTGCAGACCTACTATGATACACCATCGGTGATTATGGTGTTTACTGGGACCCAAGAGGTGGTTGTACCATGCCGTGTCACTTCTCCTGATATTGATGTCAAACTTCAGTTGGTAAGTTACATTGTTAGGGGCCCAGATGAGGACTTACCACTATTTAGAGTATGGAACATAGAGTTAGGGAGCAGTATTTCAGTCTCATATCTGCTCCTGGCCCCAGCTATGCCTCTTGGGAGAATATACAAGCAGATACGCTATCATTTTGCCTTGGACCAGTGTTGCACAAATTAGAAGGAAAGGAGATCGTTACTTGGATACTCCTGAGGTATCATCTGTGGACTTACCATATGTAAGCTATTCCTCAAAGTATCTCTCCGAAGCCAGAAACTTTTTCCAGAAGAGATTGCTTGAAACTAATTAACTCCAGATGTCCTCTAAGACCTTTTGTGGACTTGAAATAAAGATTTGTTCATGTCCAGAGATCTGGGTCCTGAGTACTTCTTTTCTTCATACATAGAGAACATGTTAGAATGTTTTGGGAGAGATGTACAAGAAGTAGAAGAGAACATGATAAGCTTGATCAGCCAAATTAATCTTGGTGGTGATTGGGGTAATACATGTTCCTGGCAGAATACCTTCACATCTCTCAAAGTCCTCCGCATCCACAAGTGCATGACGCTACTCAAATCTAAAAACTCCTTTATGTATATTGTTTCTGTTGAGCTGCTTATGTAACTGCTTTGTAAGGTGAATGGAGCTGGCCTTATTTCTGTTTTATACAAGATATCTTGAGCTTAGAGAAAAGAAAGAACTTGCCCAAGGTACCTATTTCATAATAGTTTGAGCCAAAAGCAACTATCAGGTATCCTGACTCCTTTTCTAGGAAGTCTACCTCTGTTCTGTTCCTGGGCACACTATTTCTCTGTTCCCAAATTTTTTTCTCACTTTGTTGTAATGACAAACCTGTTAGTGTCCATAGCAGCAATCAATGATCTTCTCACTACTGCAATATAAGGAAGGTCAGAATTTTCCCTAATGCCCTCTGGCACTAGAGCTGGAAAGATGATAGTGGGGAAAGCTAAGAAATTATACCTTGGTGGCAGCAGCTGATATGGCACAAGGAATTTCTGGTCAAGTCCATGGGCAGAAGGGTTGAAACTTTGACATGCTCCACAAAACTATGAAATACTTTAATTACTCATTGAAGGCTATACATTGTCCTGATTATTCATCCCTCCCCTTCCCAGACCCATGTCTCTCTAAGGTCATTAGATAGTCTCAGTGTATCAGACCCCATGGTCATGTTGAAGTCCCCCTTTCCACCCATACTTGGGATGATGTATCAGTTATTTTTTAAAGATTTATTTATTTATTTGAAAGTCATAGTTACATAAAGAGAGGAGAGGAAGAGAGAGGAAGAGAGATTTTCCATCCGCTGGTTCACTCCCCAATTGGCTGAAACAGTTGGAGTTGTGCCAATCTGAAGCCAGGAGCCAAGAACTTCTTCCTGGTCTCCCACGTGGGTGAAGGGGACCAAGGACTTGGGCCATCTTCTACTGCTTTCCCAAGCCACAGCAGAGAGCTGGATCGGAAGTAGAGCAGCCAGGACTCGAACCAGAGCCTATATTGGAAGTTGGCACTGCGGGTGGAGGCTTTACCCACTACACCACAGCACTGGCCGGTCCCTGGGACCCTGTATCAGTTCTTTATAAAGGAAAAAGGAAAGAGCCCCATGTCTTTAGGACTTGGTCCAGAAGGAAGCCGTGGTATGCTGGGAAGGAGCAGGAAGGAATCTGCAGTCTGCTGTCGAGGTTATGTGCTTGGCTGACTACCTCATCCTTCCTCTACTAAATATGTAGGGAGAGTGACTAGGCTGGTCCAAAAGGCCTCCCCCCTTACTTGTCACAGGCTAGCCTCCGGCAGGGCTTGGAGCCACTGTGTCTCTGTCCTATGCCAAAAGGAAGCACGAGGTGGGGAAGGGACTGACCTGGCTAATTTGAAACATCCTTTTTCTAAAATTAATCCCTAGTAGGCAGCCAATTCACCTTCAGAGGATGAGTCTAGAAATGGGAGTAGAGATATAGCCAGGATTTGTTTTTCTAAGGCCTTAGTTGCTGTCTCACCTATGATTTAATCAGAATAGATAATGTCATGGTATTTATAAATCTCCCTCTTCTATACAAAGTCTCGAAGACACCAACCATAATATTCCATTTTCTCTTACAATCCAATACTTTCCACAATTCACGTTACCGTGCTATGATACTATTGTATTTTGGGGAAAAATGAAAAGTGCTATTGCCTTTTAAGTTATAAGATATATAGCATAATCCAAACCCTTAGACATGTTTTTTAGCCTGAAGCTTGACTACTGTGGTTTTAGGTTAGGATCACTTAGTTTATTTAAACCCACAGTGGTGGGTTTGGACTGAGATTGAGGAAACCTGGAGTTCTGATTGGATAATAATCCTTGGCTAATCAGTTAAGACTTAAATGATTATGCTTTGCTTTGTAAAGTGCAGCTGATGTATAAGTGAGCATTGGTTAAAAGCAAACCAGTAGTATAACCAAGGGTAACTGAGTAAATAAAGCCAATTGCGTTAGCAAGGAAAGTAACTCATCTTGAGATCAAATTCAGTACAATGTGATTTATTCCAACTCATTTACCAAATATGCTTTGTTCAAAACACTGTCCAAACATAGTAATAGCTAACATCCATTAACTCTGTTAGTTGGGTAGAACTACCATAACGAATTTTCACAAACTGGGTGGCTTAAATTCACTGAAATTTATTTTCTCACAAGTCTGGAACCTAGAATTCTAAAGCCATAGGCATCAGTCGAGCCACACTTCCTTAGAATGCATGAATCCTTCATTTTTTTCTTCTAGTTTCTGCAGGCTGTACGTTTTCTGTGGCTAGTGGTTTCATAACTGTACTCTCTGCCAGTCTTTACATGATCCTCTCCCTTCTTTCTCTGTATCTTTTATATACTATAATGACACATGTTTTTGGATACAAGGCCCACCCTAATCTAAGATGATTTCATCTTGAAGTTCTTAAGTTGATTACATCTGTGAAGACTCTTTTTCTAAATAAGATCACTTTCACAGGTTCCATGTAAACTAATTTTTTTTGAGGACCACTATTCAATGCACTACAGGCCCTTACCACTGCCATGCATTCTACTGAGAGCCTTTTCTCATTCAGTCTTCAAAACTGATGTTTCAGAATGCTCAATCACATCTATTTCTGCTTTCCAAGTAGTCTGGTGTGAATGGTGTGTGTGTGTGTGTGTGTGTGTGTATTATAAAACTTCATATGGTTTTTTAATAATTTTTGCCAGATTAAATGCTCATTAGCTATCATGATACAGTGAGAGTACAGAGGAGCAAGTATTTAAGTGACTGAGGAAGTCTTAACTGGAGGAGCTGGTACCAATTAGTCCTGATAAATAAGCAGAAACACCTTAGGTGGAGAATTTGGCAATGAACCTAAGTATAGATACGAAGTCATGAAGGGACAGTCAGGACTATTTGTTGAAAGTCACAGAAATTGAACCAAACCCTAACACACTGAACTTGGCTAAGGAAAAATGTGAAGTGGAAAGAGTATACTCATGGGGAGGAGTACAATAAAGGCTCAGGGGCATGTGTTCACCAGTAACCCACTATTCTAGCACAACAGATTTGCTTATTTCACAAAGGGATGTGGTCATCTATAGTGTAGTGAATATTCATTGCCAGAGAGTAACTGAGAGGCATTTCCTCTGCAATCCCAAATTAGAAAATAATCCCAGGGCCAGCGCTGCGGCTCACTAGGCTAATCCTCTACCTTGCAGCGCTAGCACACCGGGTTCTAGTCCCGGTCGGGGCGCCGGATTCTGTCCTGGTTGCCCCTCTTCCAGGCCAGTTCTCTGCTGTGGCCAGGGAGTGCAGTGGAGGATGGCTCAAGTGCTTGGGCCCTGCACCCCATGGGAGACCAGGATAAGTCCCTGGCTCCTGCCATTGGAGCAGCGCGGTGCGCCGGCCGCAGCGCGCCGGCCGCAGCGGCCTTTGGAGGGTGAACCAACGGCAAAGGAAGACCTTTCTCTCTGTCTCTCTCTCTCTCACTGTCTAACTCTGACTTTAAAAAAAAAAGAAAAGAAAAGAAAAAGAAATAATCCCAGGAAGTGGCTGGCTTTCATTGCCCTAACTAGAATGTTATTCCACTTACACACCAGTTTCTGTGACTGGAGAGATAAGATCTAGGTATGGAGTTGACAGCTTCCACACAAACCATATAAAGTGTACATTTGTGGCATGGAGAGAGGAATGGTAAGACAGGCTAGTAGGAAGGAGTGGAGACAATAATAAAAAGAGGGTCCTGTTTTGAGCAACTGAAACTTTAAGTGTCTGCTATACATGAGGATTAATTTAGGATGGGAGAGATGGGAAAGGGCAGAACAGAGATACTTTAAAGATAATATCTAATAACAGGAGTTTTGGGGCTCTGACCTATTGACATTTGTGATCAAATTGTTGAGGGCTATCCTGTGTACTGTAGGTTGCTTAACAGCATCTCTGACTGCTTCCCACTAGGTGCTAATAGCAATTCCCTACCCACAGTTGAGCCAAACAAAAATGTCTCGAGGAACTTTCAAATATCCTTTGAGGGATTTCCTCACCTCATTGTGAAACATTTATCTGTAGGAGTAATTAAGTGAATAAATCTCTTTCTTAGTGCTGCTGAAACTTTACTCATTCAAATAGAAGAAGAATAAAGACATAAAGCTCATGTTAATCACATTGTGGAATATTTTGGTAACAAACTCTAGATTGCTTTAGAAGTAGTCAATAAATCTCAGGTTTTTCTTCCTCAGCCATTTGTGCACTTTCACCTCTGTGTCACATGTGCTTTATTTCATACTATTTTTTCCCATTGTTAGGTTCTCTAAGGACCTTAGACTCTTGTATTACAGTACATTTAGTTTATGGAATTACCTAAGATGAGAGGGTGTCTCCAAGGGATGCGACAGGTTTTGGTTTAAAATGATATTTAAAAATAATTTTAAATATTTAATTACAATTTAAGAATTAATAAAGAATAATATTTTTAAAGCCCCTGAAACTAAAAAGAAGTGTAGTATACTTTGTACCCTAAGTTTTGTGTATTAGATAAAGGATAAAGATCTTGTCCTGGGATTGAGGACAAGCAGGCTCTAGGTAGATACTTGTTCGGTGAGAATAAAAGAATTGAACTAGGAGTCAGAGAGATACAGCCTCTGAGTTAAGAGTCTTTTGAGTCTGATTTCTCATCTGATACAAAAATTCTTTTGCAACAGTCATCAAGTCTCTGAGTGTTTTCAGTGACAGAAGTTAAAATCTTTTTGCTCCTTTTTAATGATTTTTGACTGAGCCAAAAAATACATCCTCGTCACTTTCACTCATTAGTCTTCATTTTACCTTCTGAAATTACATTTAAAAGTTCAAGCTTCCAAGTAACAGTTCAAATACTAGGAAAAGAGCTAACTTCCTCTCCCCCTCCTAATACAATCAAAGGCCCCACCTACTATATTCTGTCAAGTGTTCTCCTTTGTTGGCCTAAAAATGTCCTGTGTCTTAAACTATTCTTTTTTTTTTTTTTGACAGGCAGAGTGGACAGTGAGAGAGAGACAGAGAGAAAGGTCTTCCTTTTCTGTTGGTTCACCCCCCAACGGCCACTGCGGCCGGTGCGCTGTGGCCAGCGCACCGTGCTGATCCTAAGCCAGGATCCAGGTGCTTCTCCTGGTTTCCCATGCGGGTGCAGGGCCCAAGCACTTGGGCCATCCTCCACTGCCTTCCCCGGCCACAGCAGAGAGCTGGACTGGAAGAGGAGCAACCGGGACAGAATCCGGCGCCCCAACTGGGACTAGAACCCTGGGTGCCGGCGCCGCAGGCGGAGGATTAGCATATTGAGCCGCGGTGCCAGCCTTTATATTACAAAAGCTTAAGAATTAATATTCTTTATATTACAAAGCTTCCAGAAACTTCACAGTTCTGATCACAGTTCTTGGATATTATATTGGCATTTAATTTATGTTTATAGAAGTTTTTAAGGATATTATAACATGCTAATGATGTAATTTTCAATGAGAAAACACAGAATTAAAATTATATTTATGTATAACTGTGTGCCAAAGAATAGACACGTAGAAGAAAGGGGCTTGGAAATAAATATAGCTCATTTTGCCCCATAGCAATTTATTTGCTACAGGGCACTATTATTGTTTTCTTTACTTTTCTCTGTATTTGAATATATTATTTTAATAAAAGTATAATTTTTGTATGTTTTGCTTTTATATTCAAAAATAAAAGATTTAGTAATTCAAGCATATTTAGAAATATATAGTAGCTGAGTGTAAGGGCTCAGTCTGCTATTTGCAGTTGGGTCTCTAATGCCCAGCACAGTACTTGACTCAGAATAGACATTTGATTAAATATTAGTTATGTTTTATTGAATGAATGAAAGTATCAGCTAAGTATGGACTTCATACAGGCCACTAAAGTACTTTTCATGTGTCCTCACCTAAAGCAGAGATGGCCATACACAGTGACAGAGTGTCATTAAATATCAGGAGTTCTGATGGGGAGATGTGTACCATGGGAACCTGACAGTTCTTGTTCCCTCATATATCTTATGAAGGAGGCTCAATTCATCTTACTTAGCTTTCAGCATTTTGGCTCTAAACTTCTCTAACTGGAAGGCATCTAAACCCTGATATTCAATAGCAATAGTTGGGCAAGATTCTCTCTCTCTTTATATATATATATATATATATATATATATATATAATCTCTCTCTATATATAGGCATTAATAATAATACTTACCTTATAGAGTTGTTGTGAGGGTGATATGAGCTAACACAGTTCCTGACATATAGTAAACTCTGAAATGTTTACTAGTATAATGAGAATTTGCTTACTACCTACTCTGTGCCCAGAATCATGTTTGTTCTCTAAGAAGAAGGGAAGGGAGGGAGGGAGGAAGGAAAATCATTATGTTCTTCTAATTGTATCTACAAATCACACTGAATCTGTTAAAACCTAATTAAAAATTAAAACAAAAAGAAAAAGAAAACAAAGGCTATATTAACCAGCATATATGCAGTCCTGAGGAAGCCTGGGCAGGACAGTTGGAGGACAGAACAGTCTTCTCTTCTCCTGTGGGTTCAAGACAGATGGCTTGTGAATGACCCTGAACAACGGTTATACCTTTACACTTATTAATGCTTTTCTATGTCTTCCTTTCTTTGATCCACAGTTGCACCCTGTCACATTCACCTATGCAGGCTTGAAGTGGGATCCCAGGAAAGGCTTCACTGTGAGCCACCCCTCTTACCACTTCTATAGTACTATTCTCCAGTGTACTGCTGAAGTCAATGGGAAGATCTACAAGTCGCTCTATCTTCCACAGCGTTTTGGTATGTGATTTGTGCATCTAGGTTAGGAAACAAGATCCTGCTGCCTTGGAGGATCCTTTCCTATTTGACAAACCTTCCTCCAGCTACATTCTTGTCAATAATTATTACTACTTAATGATCCCAGAATTTTATTTTTTTAGATTTATTGATTTATTTGAAAGTCAGAGTTACAGAGAGAAGGAGAGGCAGAGAGAGAGAGAGAGAGAGAGAGAGAGAGGGAGGAGAGAGGTCTTCCATCCACTGGTTCACTCTCCAACTGCGCTAATAGCTAGAACTGCGTTTATCTGAAGCCAGGAGCTTCCTCCAGGTCTCCCATGTGGGTGCAGGGGCCCAAGGAGTTGGGCCATCTTCCACTGCTTTCCTAGGCTATAGCAGAGAGCTGGATTTGAAGTAGAGCAGCCAGGATTAGAACCGGTGGCCTCACGGGATCCCAGCATCGCAGGTGGTGGCTTAACCCGCTATGCCACAGGACCGGCCCCTGGGCTTTTATTTTTAAAAACTATATTTATGTGAGTGTAGAAAGCCCAGCCTAACCTCTGCTATCCTACTTTCTCAGTTGACCATAAAAATCAGATTTTCCTTGGCGGCAGTTTTTAACATTTAATGTACAGTTTTTATAGGCTTGTCCTTGCATAAATAATAGATTCCTTGGAGCTTGGGTTATTACTGCCCTTATAATGAAGTGGGTATGGTCCTCTATCTCATGGATGACCCCTTTCTCAGATAATATAGAAAGGTGGCAGAATTAGTCACAGAAGGGCTTGGTAACTTTAGGTCAGTAGAAGGAAAACTTTCCTGATGGAGATGTGGTTAATCTGGGGACAAGATTTCCCAAGAATTACAATACTCTGTTCACTAAAATGCCCTTGTTAGCACCACAAAATCCTTTGATGGTTTATGTAACATCTTACCTAGTGTGTTCCAAACTGTGGGGCCATCTGGTTTGGTCTTGCATCTACATTTTTCATCTAGGAAAGGCATGGAGGATTTGAGCATTCCATATGAAGACTTTTGGTTCTTGCTTTCTTAATATCCTTGTGGCATCTGCTCTATTTTCCAGAAACCAAGAAAGAAAATATTTCTATCAGATACAACCACCAGAGACTTCTCATGGGAGACACCCTTTTCCTTCAGTGTGTTGCAGAGACCACATTCAATGGACGAATCAAACTGGACTGGGTATTCAACCGGCAAGATGTAAGGAGATTCACCTTATTCCAAATATTAAAAGAAAGTCTCCCTATATCTTCTCTCTGCTGTTCCCACTCAGTCTCTAGCTTTGTTAAAGAACCAGGCTAAGTAGTAGCAGATGAAAATAACAAGCAGCTTCCTCATTTTAGGAAGCCAGTCTTGTGGAAGATTGACATTTTTACTCTACCATATCATGGTGCATTAGTTACATATGAGATTTAGTAGCTGTACTTGCCAGCTTCTCATATGGATTTCTTTGGCTACCTTGTAGAGCCCTCTGACATTTTCTGTATCTGTATGCTCAATCATCTCAATTAAGTCTGTTTTCAATATGAACAAAGAATGGTGATTAGCTGGGAGTGTTTGAGAGGGATGGAGGGAGTTTGGACAAAAATAAATAGGGGAAGCTGGGTGTGGTTCATTAATTGTGACAAATATTTCATACTAACATGTTATATTAATAATAGGGAAACTGGGTGTTGGGCATTTGGGAACCCTTCATATTGCTTCAAATTCTGTTTGGGATGGGAGAAGGAGTAGGAGATAGGATGGTTTGCGGGTGGGAGGGTGGTTATGGGGGGAAAAACCTCTATAATCCCAAAAGTTGTACTTTTGAAATTTATATTTATTAAAAAAAGTTTTCTAAATTTTTTGTTAGGAAATAAAAAGTTCATTTAGAATTGCATAATAGATTAAAAGAAAAAGTGGAAAAAATTCTATTTTCTTTTCCCACCCACAGTCTAAGGTAACACCTAGGTGTTGCGAAGTTAAAAGGAACTTGTATAGAGGGTCCTCAGTATACAAAAGCTATAGCAACTTGACCATCTGGAATGTAACCATGGAAGACAAGGGTTTGTACATTTGCAGGGAAAAAACCAACACTACCCTGCAAGCCAATGTGACCATCACAGTGTACAGTACGTAAACTTTTCATTTCTGAACTACTCACTTTTCTCCTCTTGTAAATAGTGAATTTTTCAGTCGTACCTGTATTTTCTCTCTCAGTGTTGTGGTTTCTGTGGCTCACAGTCACAATATTTCAGAAATTGAATCAGAAAGTCTTGTAGATTTTCGAGGTTTCTTTTTCTGTTCCTTCACCCTGACACAAGGATTGCATGCTAGAGAATGTTGTGATTTAATTACATGCTTTTTCATGTTGTTGGATGGCTATAGTTGTATGTCTTAGGAACTTAGAGTGAGGTAGCCCATCAGTATTTTGTTCCAAGTAAAGATTAAATAATCTTGAATCTTTTTGCTAGTTTGCTGTGTTGTCTTGGACAACTTACTTCACCTCCCTGTGCTTCAATTTTCTAATTTATAATATATATGTTTGAAGATGCCTCTTGCTTGTTTTCCCATGACAGTGTTATCATGAATTGACTAATAGAATTATTAAGTGAACCCCATTTTGCCTATTTGCTCTGTGGTCATGAGCTCTTTACTTATAAACATACACACACACACACACACACACACACAGGGTTTTATTTTTTAGTAAGACGTTTTACCACTTGTGGCTCCATTCAAACTTCTGCACCTTGATTATAAGGTAACAGCTCCTGGGTTCCTTGTAGCCAGTTTTAATTGTACCACATCAGCTGCAAGCAACCTGACTAAACGTAGCTTAAACTGTGAGGACATATAACACAGTGTTCAGAGGTGTACCGTTCCATGGTTTTTTGATTCAGTGAATATTGATAATCAATATCTTCTAGAAGCCAAGTGTCTTCCATTATTTACTCTGCCATTCTCAGTATCTTAAAAATACTCGGCATGTTGCCACAGTCTTAGAAACCATATGCCAACGATAACTTCCAGGGGCAGGGAAAAGAGAGGAAAATGCTCCTTTCTAAGGTTTTGCAAAACTTGTCCTAGAAGACTCCGAGCTTACTTCTCATATTTCTATATTGGTCAGAACTACATAACTTACTTGTGACTAAATAATCCCTGCAAGAAATAAGACCCGTATGATTAAATTTTTTCTCAACTCATGGGGTAGTACTACTTATTGGAGGCATTGAAAATGTATGAGGACATGTTTTCTTAGTCAAAACTATTGAGGATCACAAGCAGCATTCATAGGATAGAATGAGAATTATAAACATTCAGATTCAGGACAGCACTGCACAACAAAATGTTGTTCCTCTTAAAATGCTGACAGCACCACCCCTCCCAATTTCATATTGATGATCAATATTTTTTTTTGTCATTGGGTCTTGGAAGTCCATTATTGCTGATAAGAAGGGTGAACGAAATTGGCATTCAGTTTTAACTTCTTCATTTCTCCACTTCCAGAGAAACCATTCCTCAATGTGAGCTACAAGAGAAGCCGCATTTATGAGGTGACAGCTGGACAAAGTGTGCTCAAAATGGGAATAAGGGTGGATGCTTTCCCTCGCCCCAGTGTGACCTGGTAAGTGGACCTTCTTTCCTGGATTTTTCTGTTTGTGATTCTGTTAACCCAAAACCTAAAGATCCACTCCTTCAATACACCCTTTTAGCAGACTCTGGGCTAGGCATTATATGCTCAGTAAAATATTCTGACCCTATCCTTATTCTTAGGGCACTCAGAACCTTGGAAACTAGTGTTTTATCTCCTTCCAAATGTTTTTACATCTTTTCCTCCTTCCTCTCTCCATCCATTCTGTGTTTAGTAAAAGTGAGTTTTTTTTAACTTTTATTTGGTAAATATTAATTTCCAAAGTGCAATTTATGGATTACAATGGTTTTCCCCCCCGCAAAACTTCCCTCCCACTTGCACCCCTCCCATCTCGCACTCCCTCTCCCCTTCCATTAACATCAAGATTCATTTTCAATTATCTTTATATACAGAAGATCAATTCAGCATATATTCAGTAAAGATTTCATCAGTTTGAATCCACATAGAAACACAAAGTGTAAAATACTGTTTCATTACTAGTTATAGCATTACTTCACATTGGACATCACATTAAGGACAGATCCCACATGAAAAGTAAGCACACAGTGACTCCTGTTGTTGACTTAACAATTTGACACTCTTGTGTATGGCGTCAGTAATCTCCCTAGGCTATAGTCATGAGCTGCCAAGGCTATTGAAGCCTTTTGAGTTCGCAGACTTCGATCTTATTCTGACAGGGTCTAGTCAAAGTAGAAGTTCTCTCTTCCCTTCAGAGAAAGGTACCTCCTTCTTTGATGGCCCTGTTCTTTCCACTGGGATCTCACTTGCAGAGATCTTTCATTCAGGTCTTCTTCTTCTTTTTTTTTTTTTTTTCCAGAGTGTCTTGGCTTTCCATGCCTAAAATACTCTCATGGGATCTTCAGCCATATCCGAATGCCTTAAGGGCTGATTCTGAGGCCACAGTGCTGTTTAGGACATCTGCCATTCTATGAGTTTACTGTGTATCCCACTTCCCATGATGGATTGTTCTCTCCCTTTTTGATTCTATCAGTTAGTATTACAGATACTAGTATTGCTTGTGTGATCCCTTTGACTCTTAGGCCTATCAGTGTGATCAGTTGTGAACTGAAATTGATCACTTGGACTAGTGAGAAGGCATTGGTACATGCAACCCTGATGGGATTGAATTGGAGTCCCCTGGTATGTTTCTAACTCTACCATTTGGGGCAAGTCAGCTTGAGCATGTCCCAAATGGTACATCTCCTCCCTCTCTTATTCCCACTCTTATGTTTAACAGGGATCACTTTCAGTTACATTTAAACACCTAAGAATAATTGTGTGTTAATTACAGAGTTCAACCAATAGTACGAGAACAAGAAAAAAAATACTAAAAGAAATAAAGTATTAAATTGTACGTCAACAGTCAGGAAAAGGGCTGTTCAAGTCACTATTTCTCATAGTGTCCATTTTACCTCAACAGATTTCCCCTTTGGTGCTCAGTTAGTTGTCGCCGATCAGGGAGAACATAAGATATTTGTCCCTTTGGGATTGGCTTAATTCACTCAGCATAATTTTTTCCAGATTCCTCCATCTTGTTACAAATGACCAGATTTCATTGTTTTTGAATGCTGTATAGTATTCTGTAGAGTACATGTCCCATAATTTCTTTATCCAGTCTACTGTTGATGGGCATTTGGGTTGGTTCCAGGTCTTAGCTATTGTGAATTGAGCTGCAATAAACATTAGGGTGCAGACCGCTTGTTTGTTTGCCAATTTCATTTCCTTTGGGTAAATTCCAAGGAGTGGGATGGCTGGGTTGAATGGTAGGGATATATTCAGGTTTCTGAGGCATCTCCAGACTGACTTCCATAGTGGCTTAACCAGTTTGCATTCCTGCCAACAGTGGGTTAGTGTCCCTTTTTCCCCACATCCTCTACAGCATCTACTGTTGGTAGATTTCTGAATGTGAGCCATTCTAACTGGGGTGAGGTGAATCCTCATTGTGGTTTTGATTTGCATTCCTGATTGCTATTGATCTTGAACATTTTTTCATGTGCCTGTTGGCCATTTGGATTTCCTCTTCTGAAAAATGTCTATTGAGGTCCTTGGCCCATCTCTTAAGTGGGTTGTTTGTTTTGATGTGGAGTTTCTTGATCTCTTTGTGAATTCTGGTTATCAACCCTTTATCTGTTGCGTAGTTTGCAAATATTTTTCCCATTCTGTTGGTTGCCTCTTCACTTTCCTGACTGTTTCTTTTGAAGTACAGAAACTTCTCAATTTGATGCAATCCCAAATGTTAATTTTTGCTCCGACTGCCTGTGCTTCCGGGGTCTTTTCCATGAAGTCTTTGCCGGTACCTATATCTTGCAGGGTTTCTTCAATGTTCTCTAATAATTTGATGGTGTCAGGTCGTAGATTTAAGTCTTTAATCCACGTTGAGTGAATTTTTGTGTAAGGTGAAATGTACGGGTCTTGCTCATGCTTCTGCATGTGGAAATCCAGTTTTCCCAGCACCATTTATTGAATGGACTGTCCTTACTCCAGGGATTGGTTTTGGATACTTGATCAAATATAAGTTGGCTGTAGATGTTTGGATTGATTTCTGGTGTTTCTATTCTGTTCCGTTAGTCTATCCATCTGTTTCTGTACCAGTACCATGTGGTTTTGATAACTGCCCTGTAGTATGTCCTGAAAGTTGGTATTGTCATGCCCCCGGCTTTATTTTTTTTCTTACAGGATTGCTTTAGCTATTGGAGTTTTCCTGTGTCTCCATATGAATTTCCGCATCATTTTTTCCATATCTGAGAAGAATGTCTTCGGTATTTTGAGTGGTATTGCATTGAATCTATAAATTGCTTTTGGGAGAATGGACATTTTGTTGATATTGATTCTTCCAATACATGATCATGGGAGATTTTTCCATTTTTTGGTATCCTCTTCTATTTGTTTTTTTAAGGTTTTGTAATTTTCATTGTAGAGATCTTTAATCTCCTTGGTTAAGTTGATTCCAAGGTATTTGATTGTTTCTGTAGCTTTTGTGAATGGGATTGATCTTAGAAGTTCTTTCTCAGCCATGGCATTGCTTGTGTATACAAAGGCTGTTGATATTTGTGCATTGATTTTATATCCTGGTACCTTGCCAAACTCTTCTATGAGTTCCAATAGTCTCTTAGTAGAGTTCTTTGGGTCCCCTAAATAAAGAATCATATCATCTGCAAAGAGGGATAGTTTGAGTTCTTCCTTCCCAATTTGTATCCCTTTAATTTCTTATTCTTGCCTAATAGTTCTGGCTAAAACATCCAGAAGTATATTGAATAGCAGTGGTGAGAGTGGGCATCCCTGTCTGGTACCAGATCTCAGTGGAAATGATTCCAACTTTTCCCCTTTCAATAGGATGTTGGCCGTGGGTTTTTCATAAATTGCTTTGATTGTATTGAGGAAAGTTGCTTCCATACCTAGTTTGCTTAGAGTTTTCATCATGAAAGGGTGTTGTATTTTATCAAATGCTTTCTCTGTGTCTATTGAGATAATCATATGGTTTTTCTTCTGTAATCTGTTAATGTGGTGTATCACATTGATTGTTTTGCGAACATTGAACCATCTCTGCATACCTAGGATAAATCCCACTTGGTCTGGGTGGATGATCTTTCTGATGTGTTGTTGCATTCTATTGGCGAGAATTTTATTGAGGATTTTTGCATCTATGTTCATCAGGGATATTGGTCTGTAATTCTCTTTCAATGCTGCATCTTTATCCGGCTTAGGAATTAAGGTGATGCTGGCTTCATCGAAAGAATTTGGGAGGATTCCCTCTGTTTGGATTGTTCTGAATCGTTTGAGAAGAATTGGAGTCAGTTCTTCTTTAAATGTCTGGTAGAATTCAGCAGTGAATCCATCTGGTCCTGGGCTTTTCTTTGTTGGGAGGGCCTTTATTACTGTTTCAATTTCTGTCTCAGTTATGGGTCTGTTTAGGTTTTCTATGTCTTCCTGGTTCAATTTAGGTAGGTAGCTTGTGTCTAGGAATCTATCCATTTCTGATAGGTTTCCCTGTTTGCTGGCATACAAGTCCTTGTAGTAATTTCTGATGATTCTTATTTCTGTGGTTTCTGTTGTTACGTTTCCTTTTTCATCTCTGATTTTATTGATTTGGGTCTTTTCTCTTCTTTTTTTAGTTAGTTGGGTCAATGGCTTGTGAATTTTGTTTATTTTTTCAAAATACCAGCTCCTTGTTTCACTGATTTTTTTGTAATGTTTTTCTTGATTCAATCCTGTTGATTTCTTCTCTGATTTTAATTATTTCTCTTCTCCTACTAGATTTGGGTCTGGTTTGCTGCAGATTTTCTAGATCCTTGAGATGAATTGAAAGCTCATTTATTTGGTGCCTTTCCAATTTCTTGATGTAGGCACCTGTTGCTATAAACTTTCCTCTTAACAATGCTTTTGATATATCCCATAAGTTTTGGTATGTTGTGCTGTTATCCTCATTTACTTCCAGAAAGTTTTTGATTTCTCTTTTGATTTCTTCTAGGATCCATTGTTCATTCAGGAGCATGTTGTTCAATCTCCATGTGTTTGCATATGCTCTAGGGATTCCTGAGTTGCTAATATCCAACTTCATTCCTCTATGGTCTGAGAAGTTGTATCGTATGATTCTAATTCTTTTGAATTTGCTGAGACTTGCTTTATGGCTAGTATGTGGTCAGTCCTGGAGTAGGTTCCATGTACTGCTGAGAAGAATGTAAATTCTTTACGTGTAGGATGAAAAGTTCTGTAGATATCTGTTAGATCCATTGGGGCTATAGTGTTGTTTAAATCTACTGTTTCCTTGTTGATCTTCTGTCTTGTTGATCTGTCTATTTGTGAGAGTGGAGTATTGAATTCCCCCAGTACCAATGTATTGGAGTCTAAGTCTCCCTTTAAGTCCCTTAACAAATCTTTTAAATAAACCGGTGCCCTGTAATTAGGTGCATATATATTGATAATTGTTATATCTTCCTGTTGAATTGATCCCTTAATCATTATATAGTGCCCCT